TTTACCGATTATTTGAATATTTTTGCCGATAATTCGCGTAACAGTGAATTTTAATCATCCAAGCACTACGGTGATCTACATAGCGACATATCATTGATATGATGTCAAGTAAAAAAAAGTTGATACTGGTTATTATTTAATATTTTGCTTTGTTTGAAAAATTTAAATTTAAATTAGTGATCGAAAACTATAAACGTTGTAAAGAAATATAGATAACTTCATAATTCTTTGGATTTACGTAAAAGGTTATTTTTAATCGTGTGAGTACGCTTGTGCAAAGTTATTGCGGAATGATTAATGTGAAATGTCAAAAGGTATTTCTTAGATTTGGTTGACTATAAATACCTAAACATTAATTTGGAGAGATCTCGTCTAATGAAGTCAACGCTCCCTCCCCCTCGTGCTCTAGTCCAAGATTCCGAAACCTTTTAGCTCGAGTTACAAAACCGCTTTCATTGCCTAGAAGATTGCAATGCAGTGGAGGATATGAATGACAACCTCGTGGAAACTGTCCATGCGGTCGGAGCTAAGTTCTGCAAGACCCGCCGCAGAGGAACACAAAAACTCTCCGATCACACTCTTAATCTCATGGCTGTTAGACGGGAGATGAAGCTGCAATCGTCAGCAGATTTGACAGTATACAGGCAACTTAACAGACAGATTTCCAAATGCATACGGCGGGACTTCCGCAACTTTAATACTGCCCGTATTGAAGAAGCGATCGAGCGGAACCAGGGCTCCAAAGTCTTTGCCAGAGATCTGCGAGAAAGAGCCAACTGTCAAAGCTGAAGACTGAGTGTGGCAGCATCGCTTCCGGGAGATTTTGAGTGAGATTGAGAGGTTCTATGGGCAGCTGTACACATCATCGTTGGAGCCACACGCAAGTGTGAGTAACGATCCAAGAGCAAGTCTTATCGGACACTATTCCGATGATATCCCGGAAGTCAGTCTAAGCGAGATTAGAATGACTCTCCAGCACCTTAAAAACGGCAAGTCCCCGGGCGAGGATCTAATTACAGCGGAACTTCTGAAAGCGGGTGGAAAACTAGTACTTGAAGTCCTTCAGAAGTTCTTTAATTCCGTCCTCCATGGTGGCACTACTCCCGAGGCGTGGAGCAGAAGTGCGGTGGTCTTGTTCTTCAAGAAAGGTGACAACACCCTCTCTAAGAACTACAGACCGATATCCCTTCTGAGCCGCGTATACGTGCTGTTTTCGAGAGTCATTACGAATCGTCTCGCACGCAGACTCGACGACTTCCAGCCTCCCGAACAAGCCGGTTTCCAAAAAGGCTTTAGTACCATAGATCACATACATACCCTGCAGCAAATTGTACAGAAGTCCGAAGAGTACAATCTGCCACTTTGCCTGACGTATGTAGACTATGAGAAAGCCTTTGATTCCGTCGAAATTTGGGCGGTGCTACAGTCTCTTCAGCGGTGCCAAGTTGACTGTCGGATATATAAGTGCTGAAGTGTTTGTACAATAGGGCTACGAGGGCTATCCGAGTACATAACCAGAGTAGGAAACTTATCCAACTGCAGAGAGGTGTAAGACAGGGTGACGTTATATCCCCGAAACTCTTCACCGCCGCATTGGAAGACCTTTTCAAGCTACTGGACTGGAAAGGATACGGTTTTAACATCAATGGCGAGTACATCACTCACCTTCGATTTGCCGACGATACAGTCCTTATGGCAGAATCGCTGGAGGACTTAACCTCAATGGTGTCTCCCTACGGATAGGTCTTAAGATGAACATGGACAAAACAAAGATGATGTTTAATGTCCATGTCACACCTATGCTGGTAGTTGTTGGGAGCACTATGCGCGAAGTTGTTGACGAGTACGTTTACCTGGGACAAAAGTCCGACTAGGTAAGTCTAAGTTCGACCGAGAGAAAAAACTAGATTGTACAACCAGTGCGTGTTGCCAGTGATAATTTACGGATCTGAGACGTGGTCCTTCACTGCTGGTCGTATGAGGACGCTCAAGGTCGCTCAGCAAGCTATGGAGAGGGCTATGCTCGGAGTTTCCCTGCGCGATAAACTCAGAAATGAGTATATCCGCAGTAGAACCAGAGTGACCGACATAGCCCAGCAGATTAGTAAGATGAAGTGATAGGATAGATGGGCCGGCCATATTGCTTGAAGAACCGATAACCGATGGGGAAGAAAGGTTCCCGAGTGGCAGCCCCGTACCGGTAGGCGTAGTGTAGGGCGACCCCCCACTAGATGGAGTGACGACCTGGTAACACATGCAGGAAGTCGATGGATGGAGAGAGGCCTATGTTCAATCAAGTGCGGCCCCCCACTAGATGGAGTGACGACCTGGTAAGACATGCAGGAAGTCGATGGATGCAAGTGGCTCAGGACCGTGTTTAGTGGCACACCTTGGGGGAGCCTATGTTCAGCTGTGGACTTGTGAAGGGCTGCAACGATGATGATAGTGACGACAGTGACACTATTATAATATTAATACTAATATTGATTCAATTAAATGTTTTCTAAATCTATGCATTATGAATAACTTTGCTTTGAACAAGTCACTATAGAGATGGACATATTATTTAATTAAAAAAAAAAACGCGTGTTAATATCAAAAATGTCAATGCTTTACTAATTTCAAATGTATGCAATATACTATTCGGAATAATTTAAGCTTTACTATTAAGTTATATTTCACAATTTGTTAATTAAGTGCTGTAATTATAGTTATTGGATTGACGTAATATTATTATATTTACATTTTATCGCCTACATTGTAAAAAAACTAAGAATTCATAATTGTGCTGTTTCTACGCGCATACCGGTAAGATACGTACATATATAATCCTAAAAGTTATAATGCAACAACTTGTTGTACCATGTCTCTGCAATAATTAAATAAATAAAAAAAACCCTAATAAACTTGCAATTTAAATCTAATTTAACTATTTTTTCCTCAGTTCTTCTAATATACGATTCATTTCATTGGTTGGTTGAAGAAAATCCAAGGAAAACCCTTTAGGGTTTCCCGGGACTCTCTTTTCGTATGTGAAATACCTTGAAGGTTGAATTAGACACATAGCGTCCAAATCATCCCATAGGGGATCACCTATCTTGACTGTGGATTCCGGTGTTCTTACTAATTTGTACTTATTTTTGTTTGATTTCATTGAAGTTATTACACTAACATTTAAGATGTGTAAAATGTTAAACAATTTGTTATTATATAAAATATAGTAAAGTGAAAATGTAACGCTTCGATTCGGTAAGAATGAAACACAAGACAAGTATTACTACCGTTACAGCCTATTAAAATCTATTGCTGAACATTTACCATAGTTGCCACGCTTGGCAAGCGGGTTGGCAACTGCAGTTTTTTATTGTCATTATTAGGAATACGCTGCTGCCCATCTGCTGACTTCTTTCCCTTTGTAACGAGCAGTTGAAGGTGTAGGAATATCTACTAACCCATATCATCCCGTGGGTGTCGTAAGAGGCAACATAGCGGAACAAAGTAATATTAAGTAAAATGTAATAAATGAAACCGCATATTTTGTACAAAACATGTAACAAAAACCATATGGTTCCTGTAAGTGCGTTATCAGAATTAATATTCAAACTAATTTAATTAACTTTCCTTGAGAAAACTAGACCATGAAGTTTTCTCATTAAATTTAAATAAATTTGTATTTGCAAGTTGTATGTTGTTTTATTATCTCAAACTGACACGTGCATAGATAAGGCAAAGTCTTTGACAATACTCTTCCGACCAATACAGAGGTAATAAAACCACATACATTTTAAAGTAGTAAAGTTACAGCCTATATACGTCCCACTGCTGGGCACAGGCCTCCCCTCATTTCTGAGAGGGTTTTAGGGCAGGGAAGTGTCCGCCGCGCTGCCCCAATGCGTGTTGGCGAACTTCACATGTCTTCGAAATATTTTTTTTCTTATTCCTCAGACATGCAGGTTTCCTCCCGATGTTTTTCCTTCACCGCCGAGCATTTCATTGGTGCCGGCGGGGGATCGAACCCGGGTTACTCGCGTTCTGTTATATTTACAGCGAGCGTTAACCATCTGAGCTACCACGGCTCTATACAATTTGCTAATAACAAATTATTTTTATTTAATTTCATTTTTTAATGTTCGAGTTTTCTTCTATACTTTTGAATACTGATTCTAATAATGCACTTAACGGGACTACAGGGTTTTCATTACACGTTGTATAATATTATGCATCAGTAGGCTTGTGATAGGCTATTATGATTATAAAATGAATGATGGTCCCTCGGAAGCAGCAAAGTACTAAGGGTAAATTTACATTATTATAAATCCATCACGAAATTACGCTTTCTAAGCGTTGTTTCATGGTGGATTTATATATCAGTTGGAATTGGGTTAGCAAAAAGTACGCAATTACACAAGAATGTATTTTGTTACAGTTGCAACTAAACAGTTCTCTAAAACAAAACGAATCACAAAGTATTGTGACATGATAAATTTGTTTGGTCAGGAATCATATTATATTTGATTACATTAGATTAGATACAATTAACTGAGTCTAGCGAGATGTCTAAAGACAAAATGTATCTACCTGCATGCATAGCGACCGAAATTGTGTCGTTTGGAACGATTAAACGTTAAATAGTAGTTTAACAATTGTAAATATTTACCATTTTCATTTCGGAATATAATTAATAAGTGATACTTTTGTCGAGCATGGTGAAAATATCAAGCCTAATGTGGTTTACGTAAGTCATTCATTACCAATACATTCTAATTCAGGTACGTTCCAGTTCCATTAAAAATAAAGACAGATTATAGAATTGTGTTATATCCATATAACATAAATGTAGTCAAAAGAAAATGAACTATAACAATTTCGTATGAAACTATTTTATAAGTATTGTAATAGCATAGGTTTGTTTGAAATTCGTCGTGAAGAAACTTAAGGAAAAATAATCAAGATCAAGTGAAGTCCGCGAGTTCCTGCAAAGTGAAGTATTTTAACCAGCAATGCTTAATAATGAGAGTAATTACTAATAATGAACGGATTGTTCTCTGTAACGTGATGACTTGAGGATTATTACTGCTAAAGTTATTATCGTATTTGCCAATACTTTTGCGCGGTTTATCACAACTATAGTCTCGTTAGAATAAAATAACTTTTATTGGAAGTCTATTATATAAATATATAAAGAATATTTTATTTTTATCAATGCTTCTATAAAAACTGTCCTGAAAAGATCCCGCAAGAAACCCAGAGGGACTATTTTGTTCAAAGTACTAGTTCACAACAATGTATAAGAACATTTCACAGAATACCGCGCTGTGTTCAAATGTCTCCCAATCCGCCTTCGTCGGAATACTCATATATCATGATATTATTTAAACAACGTTGTATTTGTTAACTTAAATTTAAGATATTCGTTCGTCCACTCAAATTGGTAAAATAATTGGGCTTTAATTTTTCGATATAACTGTGTCACCTACCTCAGAAGCTATCGTTTTTGAAAAATGCCTTTTGTTTTCTCTCTATGTTTATATATTTTATTAAGTGATTAGTTTTTCTTTGGCGTGTAGTAAAGTATGGCATTACATAGTATTACACAATAAATGTTAGGTAATAGTCCTATGTAATATGAATGCAACCGAAAATATCAATAAAGCTTTTTTTAAATACTGAAGTAAAAATTTGAGTTGTTCGTACTTTGAATTTTTAAGTGCCAAACATGTTTTTAAATAATTTAGGATGAAAGCCAGATATGGTTCGTTCGCACGCAGCATGCGCAATCTTTTAATTTACTCTATCAGACAAATCAAAGCTGCGTTGAAATGATAAGACGGCTATGCGAGGGGATTAGAATCTTAGTGATTGTACCGCTTCTTCGATTCGTTCTTAAATATAAAAGCGAGTTACTAGAGATATTTGAAATAACTTTGCACGTAAGCGACATATCGCGATCAACATGAGCATATTGCATTACCAACATGTACTCTGTATACAAAAGTACAGCAACAGTAAGGCCATTACAAAAGGGTGACGTAAACGTTGTCTCCGACTATGTGCATACTTTGTAATGAAAAATCCGATTTATCCATTCAGGCTGACGTTGACAAGGGCGTTACAAGGGAGTTTAAACACCCATATAGAGTGCCCGCGCACCGTGTAAATAGATACCGTGGCACAATCGATTGGTCAAAGTTAATCTGAGGCAGGTCCGAGCGACCGTGAATACGGGCGACTTCCCGTGCGATCCGCAGTGAGACAGAGCGGCGCGCGTCGTGCGTTTCCTGCCTCGCATCTCCTGACAACGAACACACCACGTTCCCCAATCGACAGAAGCCAGTGCCGGTGTACTAATGTTTCGAACGTAAATACTGACGAAATGCTCCACGATATTCGTCAAAACGCGTATTACATTCCATCTACGATGTAGAGCTGCCGACTCGTCGCAGGAAAATGTAAGTGACGTTTGTAAATAGTTTAGAAGTGTGTTGTTACTAGCTCTACATAAAAACGAGTTACATTTACTTATAAATTATTTTCAATCCATGTTACTAGGCCTTAAGTGATAATGTAACTGTAAACTTACATATTGTTCGTAAGATTAGCAATTAATTTAGAAATGTCTTTTTCCGCGATAATATTTGATTGGTTGATGAAAATAAACTAAGGTCACTAATTAGCATCATCATCATTACAGCCCTTCAGAAGGTCACGGCTGGATGTAGGCCACCCCCAAGAAAAATTAAAGATTACCGTTCTGAGTCACCTGCATCGATCGACTTCTTGCATGTCTTATCAATTTGTTAGTCGTTACTCCATTTAGTGAGAAGCCCATTCCGCTTATGGGGATGCCACGCTAGAATCATCAGACCCTATCTTTTGTCGACCCTGCCACTTCTGCTTACCAACCCGTTGAATTATGTTGGGTCTATCTCGGGTATAATGTTAATGATATATAATTCGCTGAGCGATCGTATGATTTATATGTTTCCGTTCAACGTAATAATAATTTATTCAATGTACTAATAAATAGGCTGTAAAGATATTTATCAATAAAGCTTAGTACCTGGATGACAAAGCTTTGCTCGGTTTTTTTTTTGAAATTACATTAGATACAAATTACATATTGATGATCTTATTGACATAAGAGAAAAAACCGAACTGGTTATTTGAAAAAAAAAATCATGAGATCAATTGGTTTAATTAAAATTTGCGTATTTTTAAAAAATGCTAAAAAAGGGCTGGAAATAATAGATTTTCTCACAAAAGAAGGGAACTTGAAAAAAAAATGAAAAAAAGTCGGACCGAAGACAGGACGCGAACCAAGGCATTACGATTTCGCGACCGCTCGATATCTACTTGAGCTATTACGATCATTAACACGGTGTCAAAATTTACCCTTCTTACATTGTAGCGGTTTTCATTGCTTGAAAACACGAACAAAGAGACATTTTCTAAAAATAAATCCTAGCTAGATCGATTTATTGCCCCCGAAACTTCCTGGATCATATACAAGAATTGCTCGTTTAAAGGTATAGGATATAACACATGCTATCTATTAAAGTATCGGAAAATGTTTGATGGCACGAAATTTAATTGGGGTTCGTTAAACGTGCAAAGCGTTTTATTTAAAGAGCCTTTCAATAAAACTGATTCAACAAGACCACAATTGTTTCTTTGGGATATTTCGAGGAGTATTGTACGAATATGTACAGGAAAGGGGGCGGTCGCGAGGAGGAGCCGACCAACGCGGTGGAAGATGTGCAGGGCGTCCGTACTGAACGCACTTGCTGTTGCCTCGGCGTGTTGGTGGGCGTCTCTCTCATCGCCGGTACGTATACACAAAAATATTTCTTATGCCGCCTATACACGCTAGGGTACACCGGAGACGGTCTACCTGTGCAGGTATATCTGCGCAGGTAGACCGGAGCAAAATCGAAAATCAATTCTTTGTAGTGACACCGTACGGTTTACCTGTGCGTGTGCGGTACACCGGAACGTCCCCATACACGCTACCAATGTTCGATTGACCTGCGCAGACATACCTGCACAAGTCACCTCTCCGGTAGACCGTAGCGTGTATGGCTTACATTAAAGATATTTTTAGATAACGAAAGACAAAAAAATATTATTAAACGTTGAAACTTTATAAATTAAGCTCAATTTTGTATAAAAAAACTAAGAAATCAATAATATGTGTAAAGTTGATAATATACTGGCAAAGTGTAGATGTCTTTTTTCCTAAAAAATAGTTATCTATAGAATTACATACAGAGGCATTATTGATTTAACATTTTTATAGCTTCTGCTCAGTATCCCGTAACACATAATTAACACACAGATAACGTTTACCAATTATATCGTTTGCTCAGCCCTCGTTGCAGTGATCCTAATGAAGGACAAAACCGTCGAGGTAACAGTGCTCCGGCAGGTTCACGTGGTGAGTACATGAAGAAAATTTTTAGTAGGTAATAAGCAGCACTTTATACTGTTTAGGAGTTCGCCTGTGTGGGTACCATCCTCATACGTATTTATACCGTCAGGTTACAGTGTCAATTCCCTAATGTATTCCTGTTTGAAAGGTATGAGGAGCCAGTATAAAATAATTACAGGTTGTGAGGCATTGCATATTAGCTCTTCAAACAACGCTCGTGAATTAAACAGTCCACCTGAAGGTATGCACTTTATTCATTTGTAAAACCGATTTAAAATCTCATCTATACATTTTGTGCATGGGTAATGCTACTTAGCGAAGTACTCGTAAATATGTGATTGTAGTGGGACCTGTTTAATTATTGCATGTGACTTTTTGTTCGGTAAATCTTAAGTTTTAATGCTTATTACTATATTGGTGTGTAATACACCTAAGTTATGAATATGTCAGAAATTCAAAAGTATAATATTATAGTAAAAAATATATATATATATATATATATATATATATATATATATATATATATATATATGTATATATATATACGAATGCTTTGAAATACATATATTTATTAGATGATAGGACTTCTTCCGTAAGATTTTTTGTTTAAAGTAGGCTGCATGGACTGCATTAGCTATTCACCATCAGTTGAACTGTAAGTTCGTTTCCTTCATCGATAAAAACTTACAGCCTATATACGTCCCACTCGTGGGCACAGGCCTCCGCTCATTTCTGAGAGGGTTTTAGGGCAAGTAATTTTCCGTCTTCGAAATATTTTTTTTTATTTCTCAGACATGCAGGTTTGCTCACGATGTTTTCCTTCACAGCCGAGCACGTGGCAAATCAGCACTTAAAATTGAAATTATCAATTTCATTGGTGCCGGCGGGGAGCGAACCCGGTTTCCACGCGTACTGTAAAATTTACTACGACTCACGGCTCTTTTTGTTTAAAGTAGGCTGCATGGACTGCATTAGCTATTCACCATCAGTTGAACTGTAAGTTCGTTTCATTCATTGATAACAGTCTATAAATAGTCCACGGCTAAACACAGGCATCTTGTATGGATTGCCTCATAGAGGGAATTTTGTCATGCGTGGCAACGCTTGACAGACGGGTTGGTAATCTTATTATTTTGTGTTGTTTACAGAAAGATACAGCTGCCCATCTCCCGTTTCTCTTTCCCTCTGTCTCTACTTACGACACTCACGGGACAATTCGGAGTATTGTATATTCTTACACCACCACTACATGGTTACCTAATTTAACTATGTAGTGGTGGTCGTTTGTCACTACAGTTTTATAAAAAAAACAACAACGGGTGATTATAATGTTCTCAGTCTAAATTAATAACAAGGATCAGGACGGAATCACGTCTATATCCGTTTTTTGCTTGGTTTAAATAATTTTAATATATAAATTAGATATTAAGAATTACAAGCGATAGTTCAACGGTCGAAATTAAATTTTACCGATGGTAAGTAACCATCTTTTTTACCAGACGGTAAAATTTAATTTAAAAATTTAATTACGTGAACGGAGTAGAAGACTGAGGCACTGATATTTAACAAAAAATAAAAATAAAAATTTTGAATCAAACATTTGATTTTTTTTAACAATTACTTTGCCCTTGTACCTGTAACCCTGCGAGCGACAAGGTCAAAGATGCCTACTAAATTTATTGTTTTATTGCCCTTGTAAAGTAGGGTGGAAATGATTTGAATTTCGATAGATTAATTATTAGATAATTTATTTATTTAATTCAAAATTTTATATTATTATTTTTTGTAAAATATCAGTGCCATTGGCTTCTACTCCGTTCACATGTTACACCCTACCTGGATGTACCCATCCAGTATAATATATATATGTATGTATATGTATGTATTATCTATGCTTTCAACTCCACTTTAATATATAAAACACAGATATGTAATACACAAAATATAAAATAAACGATTTTTGGGCTTCAGACACACACTTCACAGACTACTGAAAAAGGAACATTTTAAGAATTCACACAAGGTTGTAGCACATACCATATAATATAATTGTTATCTTTCTCCACTCCCTCTTCATATAAACTTTTACGATGCCAAATCTCATACCACTTTGGTCGCTAAATATGCTTTAAAACGTGTAAAAAGTTTTCTATGTGCTCGTTTGTTATACAGTACCCGTAGTAATGAAATACAAATAACTTCAAAATTTCTTTGCTTTACACAAAATATTGATGGTGATTTATGCTTATGAAAAGTTATTGCATTATGGAAAAATTTAAACGTCAAAAGGCATTTCTTAGATTTTATGATATGATTATTCTTAGATTATATTATTGTCTTTACAGTATACTCTCGTTATTATTGTTTTTACAGTATATTTCTAAGATATTTTAACGTGGTAGAGCCATGTTCCAGCTATATTAGTAGTATAGTTGTAGCACGAATGGATCGGTTCGCCCGGGGAAGGACCACGCTCTCACAGAATACCAGCCTGCTGTGTTTCTTATGGTGAGTGTAGAAAACCGGAGACCCTTTTTACTGGAAACGAGGCATTCCATTTTAGTCCTCACGAGTGACAACGCGTCTGCATTTTGATTCGTAATCGAGGATAGATGTAGATGTCTATGGGCCACAGCAACCACTTACCATCAGGTGGACTATGTGCTCGTTTGTCATCCAATCATACATATATATAAAAAAGATAATTATTTAGAGATAATTAAACAGAAATAAGAAGAACTCTAAAAAACAGTTAGAATTAGTTAAAAATGATTTGACGTCACAATAGCGGAGTGACTAAACGTTTGGGTGCGGCGTTGCGGACTTCGGATTCGATTACCACATAAAACAAGGATTTTTGTAGCATACACATAATTACGTCGAGCATAGCAGTTTGTTCTAGAGAAATTTATGCATATAAACACATCGAATCTAATTCCTAGAATAGGGATAAAGTTTCTAAAAATAATAAAATACGTCGTCCCAACTTGTATTCTTTGGATTTAGAACTATCAGAAGTCCGAAACCGAGTTTCGTGTGATTGCGCATAACTTTTGCTTTTGGATTGGCATTTCCGTCTTGTCCAACATATATACTGACACTATATAACAACAATCATAAATAAAATTCACAAAATACTCGTAAGCACACGTCCCGCATTACCAGGTTGGAGAGAATAACACAATCAGCAAATACATTAAATTAAAAAAAGATTTTAAAACAGTATGCATATTGCATAAAATTACAATTTTATTTGCATCTAATTAATATATTTTGTATTTCAAAGACAATATCATAAATTATATATTACAATAAACGTAATAAATTTTTTATTACCTTAACCTCAGTTTTGGAGCTTATACCTACAATAAGTAAAAAATATCATCATATTATAAATGATGTTTATTTTACTGGGTTTTCGCGGAGAACTGGTATTTCATGTCTGCTTATCTGTGTATGTGTACCAGAAATTTATAATATATTTAACTTAAACTTACTTAAGCTTAAATTACGAAACAAAATAAAAATATAAATATAGTGTAATGTATACAATAGCATTCGAATAATAATACATAACTAAAATAGTTTTTATATATGCAATGATTTCTTATATACTCATAGACAAATTTAGAGGAATGCAAAAAAGGTTTAATTTCTCCTGTTGTAATTATCGTCACAGAATAAATAATAGTACTACGTACAGAAGTTTCACTGTTTTAATGTTGACTGCTTGCCGACGTTTAATAGCCTACGTAGTTATTATTAATTAAATAAATCGCACTCGCAAGCTAAATAAAACTTTATCGCTGCGCGAGAATGTTCGTATTACTTTGCACATTTTCCTCTTCCTACTCGTATGTTACGGTGGACTTTCCGTTGTTATGGAGGGATGTCAATAAAGAGTAACAAAATACATAGCGAAATATTAATTAGGTTACTTAGGTGAAATACCTATTCTGACTATGATCGACAGACCATATTTTCGCACCTACGTGAGTTCTGCGATGCCTAACGCATGCAACTTGCAAGGCCACTCGTCGGGAATTGCGACGCTTGGCTCGGAAGGAAAAGGTATATAGTGTAAACATCAAATAAACTTGAAATACGATTTCTAACAGAAATGTAATCGTATTCTACCTAGTTAAAAATTTTGTTGCTAAACAAAGTTTTGAATTCAGTGTTTTGTGTTATTTTAGCTTAAAATATTTTAAGCTAAAATAACAGCTTAAAATATTTTAATACAAAAGGCAAGTATATTGTACGTAACTTATAACGTACGTAACTTGTAACGTACTTGGATAGTGAAGTAAATTTCTACTAAATTTTGTAATAAAGTTCGAAGATATTAAATAAATTATTACTTAATTCTTATTTGCTATAAATACCTATCTAACAATAAAAATTAAGTAAATTCACATTCAAACTGCAAATCCTTCGGATAGCGTTCCAAAAAAAAAAAAAATATAAAAATTAAAAACTTTTGACTATTTTATCCTATAATAAAATAACTAAACACAAAAAAAACTCAACATATTAAAAGTTATATACTAAACAGTTAAACCGCGACAAACTTCAAAAAAAAGTTTTAAATGTTTTTTTCACGCTCCTACTCGCGCTTCTGAGAGGGTTTTAGAGCAAGGAAGTGTCCGCTGCGCTGCCCCAATGAGTGATGGCAGATTTCACATGTCTTTGAAATGTATTTTTTTTATTTCACAAACATGCCGGTTTCCTCACGATGTTTTCCTTCACCGCCGAGCACGTGGTAAATAGGCAATTTACCACGTGTTCAGCGGTGCAATTAACAATCAGGATTGAACCCGGTTTTTATCGCATTTGATTTAAGTCTTGGTTAACTATGATATCAGGACAAACATTTTAGCTATGAGCCCCATGACCATGAGTGCTGTAAAGTGCGGGAAAGGTCGGGAATTAAAAAAGTTTGGAATGAAATTTTACGGAATTTACGCGTTTAATTTCAACTTTCTAATTCCCGATGTTAAGAGCTTTACCGTAATTTATTACAGCAGCCATGGTCACACGGGAGACTGAGGTATTTATTGTACTGATCTCCTAGTTAACGAAGGCTTACTTAAACTTTTAATTATTAATGTTTAGTCCGATCTCCGCAGAACGAGATTATAGTATACTGAAGTCTTGCAGAAGTGTGCTTGGGTTTGAATTTTATTTAATTAATTATGGGATCCCAAGTAGATTGTAGTTTTTATATGCTAAAAGATTTCTTTAAAACAGATTTGAATAATCATCCAACATTAAGACTTGTTACAGTTACAGTGCGTTTTACTATTTAGGGCGTCATCACCACTTACCACCAGGTTGGATTTTAGTTTAGCACTGGCTTATAATGGGGTTCCACCAGGTCCACTTCTTGAGCCCCGGTGGTTTGACAAAAAACGAGATTGACTTCATTATGACTACCAGACGCCAACTGTAAAGTGATGTCACCGAATGGTTAGAGGCACACTGAACCTAATTGTTAACGAGACCTCTCCAGTCTCGTCTAATTAAGTCAACGTTCCGTCCCCCTCGTGTGCTAATCCGGTGTCCCGAAAACTACCAGCTCGAACTAGAAAACCGTTTTCAGTGCCTAGAAGACTGCAATACAGTGGAAGATATATATGAATATATGAATGACAAACTCGTGGAAACTGTCCATGCGGTCGGAGCTAAGTTCTACAAGACCGAAGAACACAAAAACACTCCAATTACACTCTTAATCTCATGGCTGTTAGACGGGAATGAAGCCGTAATCTTCAGCAGATTTGAAACCATACCGGCAAGTAAACAGACAGATCTCCAAATACATGCGGCGAGACTTACGCAACTTCAATACAGCTTGTATTGAAGAAGCGATTGAGCGGAACCAGGGCTCCAGTCTTTGCCAGAGATCTGCCTGCCAGAAAGAGCCAACTGTCGAAGCTGAAGACCGAGTGTGGTAGCATCGTTTACGGGACACCTAAGATTTTGAGTAAGATTAAGAGGTTCTATAAGCAGCTGTAGTCATCGTTGGAGCCACACGCAAGTGTGAGTAACGATCCAAGAGCAAGTCTTATCCGACACTATTCCGATGATATCCCGGACGTCAGTCTGAGCGAGATTAGAATGGCTCTCCAGCACCTTAATAACGGCGAGTTACAGCCTCGTACTGGTAGGCAAAGTGTAGAGCGACCCCCACTAGATGGACTGACAACCTGGTAAGACATGCATGAAGTCGATGGATGCAGGTGGCTCAGGACCGTGCTTTGTGGCATTCCTTGGGGGAGAACTATGTTCAGCAGTGGACTTGTGAAGGGCTGTAGTGATGATGATGACTGGCTTATAATATCGTGGCAACTAACATGTAATCTATGGGAGAGACCTATGTTCAGCAGTGGACAGAGTGGACAGTGTTTATAGCTTCGATCAACAATACCAACTAGATAACGGGTCACGTACAAAATCATAGCTAAATACTGTCCGCATGAATATAAACTATGAAGACATAAATAACATTTAGTGTGAAATCAACCTTATGTTATAACAAATAAAGTTCTTTTTCCCGTTATTGCCTTGCGAGCTACACTCTCACGTACAAGAGCTCACGTCTCATGTGCGCTCTTATTTACCGAGATGGAGTTCTTGCGCCGACCTTACATCTAGTTGGTATTGTTGATCGAAGGTTTATAGGCTGTAATTGATGGATGATATGTAAAAAAGCCTCGAATACATTAAGACTTAGTTTGACAGAATGTATTTGATTGTACAGCTCATGTCACACGGCGAGCGCACGCCAAGCGAACGTGAGCTGGCGATGCTGGGTGCTTCCCCGCCTGAACATGTCTTCGCACCTTACGGTGCTGGGGCATTGACTAACGTAAGTGATTTTTCATCATTTTAACTTCAATTATCGCTGAATCTTGTTAAAATTTATAAGGGACCATAGTAAAATGTACAGATTGTTAAATAAAAATTTAAATGAATCTGCTAGGCTCGATACCGCAATGTCTAATAAAATTAAATTATTACACTATTTATGTATGGAATGCTACTCTACGATACAAAAAGATTCCTAGTGCGGAGCAATTTTTCAAAGGAATTTAAAAAGCTATTAATTATATTGTTATTCAACAAATGCATTTTAAATGATAAGGAAATTTTAAATGATGGCCAGATATTTTAAAATCTTTGTAAATTTTAATTATTTTGGATTTCATAAATTAATGTAAATTTAAAAAGTTTCGTGTAAAAATATAACATGTTTGTTACTATTTGATGTGTTTAAATGTAATATTAATATTTTTCAAACTTATGCAAGTGTCTGTAATGTTCAATGTATGGTTCAATGTGTTATTCTATTATTATATTTAAAATCTTGATATAAAACTATATTTTAGAAAATGAAAGCTATTCCATTCCATTAATATCTTCAAAACGTTGAGTGTCGCTACCAAAAAACTACTTGACCAAATCTATGCAGCAACAGTACAACCCAGATAAACTTACTGTTGGACAATATGTAATGTTTTATGATCCCAGAATACATCCCCTTTCTGATGTAAGTCTTTTGAAGAGGGTTGTATCCTTTCTGGTAAGAAAACATTTTTTATTTTAAATATCTGAAATATCGTATTACATTTATTAAAAAGAATTCCACTTCAAGTAGATTTTTTATTTTCCTCTCAATTGAGTCAATTCATTCGTTTCCTCGCAAATCCATCCCAGCAACAATTGATCGCAGCTTGAAAAACACTTATCACGACATCGGTAACGGTATTACTCAGGATTACGAGTACATAAATGTATATTGGCGGAGATTACAAATCCGATGGCTCATTGAGCTTGCAAGTAATAAATTGAAATCCGTTGGTGTATTATTAAACAGTTTCGCGTGGGAATCGCGCGAAATGCAATTTTAACAATAGAGCCTTTTAGCGTAGTTCCGCAATTTACCTGATAGACTGACCATGTGGGGTTGCCGTGAAATAAATGAATATACTATATTATTTTATGCAAAACATAAAATCTCCTCAGATTATTTAAATTAATTCAACCAAATATAACTTGGTTCAATGGTAGTGGGTAATAGGCGCAATGACAGCTCATTCGCAGCAATGACCCATGATGCAGACAACAAGCTAGATCGAACATTTACTTCCTGCTGATAACGCAGGAGGGAGACCCAGTGGCGAAGGTCGCGAGGTCCTCTAAACAGGAATAAAGTGTCGGCCCAGACGCATTCGTGTCGCACACTAATAATGATTTATTGCTCGCTGCAATGCACGACACGGTCGATAGAAAAATATCATTTGACATGCGTGTAAGAAAACGTAGATAATATTGTGACTTCAATTATTTTCAGAACTTCAATAAAAATTTAGTAATTATATAAATAATAAAGATGGTTGTTACGTAAATGTTTAAGGATAAAAATACTAAGTATAATATTTTTATCCTTAAGCATTTACGCATTATTGTAGCAACAATTATTTTTAATTAGTACTAGTAAGTGCTAATTAAAAATAATTGTTGCTACAAACAAATTTAATTCCTGAACGATTGACCAATTCCATTATTAGAATAGTGTTCAAAAAATTACCAACAAACAGTATTTACGAAAATAGCCATATTGCAAAAAACTATAAATTATCATTTAACTTTAGCGATTGTTTATGAGGCTTTAGCATCAGAAGAGCTGTCTGTGTACTGGATGATTTTTTACCGCCCGGAAAAAAATAGGATGTAACAGGTGAACGGAATAAAAGCCTATGGCACTGATATTTTACATTTTTCATCTTTTACATAAACATATTAGATTGAACTAAATAAATGACACTAATTTGAAATTACTTTGATATATATATATAAATAAATATATATATATATATATATATATATATATATAACCGGCACGGAAACTTGGCCAAGCGGTTATCTCGCGATAGCAAAAGCTTTAAGTGTTTCTGATGAATGTTTGTTATGCAAGTATGTCAAAAAATGTTTACCCTCAAGTTCAAGAGGGTAATTCATTATGTTTAAGTGCACCATGACGAATTCTTTAATTTTTAGTTGAATCGGGTCATTTGAGCGACTAAGTTCACATTTTAAATTTGTGTGTTGTGAAAAGTTTACTGTAAGGTTATTCAATTATTGTGATCTTGTGTCTTAATTAAATAACTAAAGGTGCTTTAAAGCCAATAAAAATGCCATTAACACCAGCACAAGTTGCACAAGCAGTAGCATTAATTGACCAAGGGCTGACACAGCGTGAAGTTGCTATTGTGCTTAACGTACCACGGTCCTCAATGCAGTATTCACTGAAACGATACCAGGAGACAGGCCGCTACACCCGCAGGCCAGGCAGTGGGGGCGTAAGGTGCACATCGGCCCGGGACGATCGTTTTATTGTTATGGAGATTTTGAGAAACCGCTACCAGACCGCTGTTGAGATACGCCAGCAGCTCCAAATCGCAAGAGGCGTTAATGTTAGTGAGCGTACGGTGAGAAGACGAATGGAGGAAGTGAATTTAAAAGCTCGTAGACCAGCACGAGGTCCAGAACTTCTCAGACAGCACCGAGTAGCCCGACTTCAGTTCGCAAGAGAACATGTCAATTGGACCCACGAGCAATGGGCTAGAGTGTTGTTCACAGATGAGTGTCGAATAACTTTACGTGCTCCAGACGGTCGAGAACGTGTGTGGAGAAAAAGAGGAGAGAGGTTTCTACCCATTACCACCACCCAAACTGTGAGTTTCCATGGAGGCTCAATAATGGTATGGGGAGGTGTAAGTTCCGACGCACGTACAGAGTTGGTCATCGTCGATAATCGGCTTACAGCTACTCGATACATCGAGGAAGTTCTTCAGGAGCACGTAATGCCTTATTCGGGATTCATTGGACACGACCAATTCCTCCTCATGCACGATAATGCACGCCCGCACGTCGCACATTGTGTAGAGGAATATCTGGAAGAGGTTGGAATACAAAAATTACAGTGGCCAGCTCGTAGCCCGGACTTAAATCCAATTGAGCATGTATGGGGTATGCTCAAAAGAAAGATAAAGTCCAGCTCCAAACCGCCACAAACTCTAAATGAGCTCCGAAATGCAGCGCTAGCCGCTTGGGACAGCATACCGCAAGTTGATGTCAGAAACATCATTCAAAGCATGCCAGATCGAATGCAAGCGGTTATCAGGACTAGAGGAGGAAACACCCGATATTAAAACTGATAGACAATAAAGAAACAGACTTAATTTTTAACTTTGTAGTGTTTTTAAAGTGACAATGGAAAGATGTTAATTTTAGTGAAAACATGTTATCTTGAAAAGAAAAATTTCGGTGAAGTAAACATTAAATTTCTATGTTCTAAAACCATTAGAGACACTTATTGAATGCATCTACCCTTAATTTACTGTTAAAAAAACGTTTCAGTGCAAATAATCAGCAAATTCACGAGTGGCCAAGTTTCCGTGCCGGTGAGTGTATATATATCCATAGTTTTGGAAATATAATACGCGCCGAATTAGTAGTATTTATCGATAAATCAATTTCATAATATGTGAATGTAAAAAAAACTTTGTAAAATATCAGTGCCATAATATGCTTCTATTCCGTTCACCGGTTGCACCCTATTTTTTTCCAGACGATGAAAAAATCAGCCAGTATAACTGAGCTAATCTTTTTTTTCTGTTTTGGCAACTATCAATAGATTCTGCCAACGTCAAGTATTTCTTGAGTCACAGAGTGTTATCAGATTAACGTTTGCTACGAAGTTTCCGTAGATGGGTTCACTCTATATGTAAGAAAGTTAAAAGTTATTTTCAGACGAATTTAAGTATAATATACACACGAAAAAAAGTTTGAAATCAGTTTGAAAAATCCAAATCTTTGTTTTTTTTACGGTAGACTATGTTATACCTTCTTTTTCTTTTTAGATTTTTTACTTAAAACTAAAGAATTAAAATATAAAACAATAAAACAATTTCAATCCAAACTTAGGTTAATTCAAAAAATCTTAGTTTATTTTAGTAGTCAATTTTAACGGATTTAAAATATTATTTCGAGGGAACATATGATTGAAAAAATGCCAAGAGTATTATCAGAAGTTTTACGAACAAGTATTGTTATTTTGTGGGAAGAAGGACATTCAACGAGAGAAATAGCACGCGGAGTTGTTGTATCCCAATTCTGTGTCGTGGTCACGTTGCAGAGATACCACGGAATGGATAATTTAGCTGACCGATTCCGCAGTGGTCGCCCAACTGTTCTGACTGCTGCTTCAGAAGCGCTATATCAGATTGCTGGCCGTCCGTGACCCAACAATCACCGCCACTACAATAAAAGTAAGTTTGTAACACAACGCATGCTGTGATTGCCTATAATTATAAGAGCATTTAATCGTGTAAAATTTATAACGCTATAATGTAACCAAACATTAATTGATGTTTCTTATGTTGGTATTCAAATAAAGAAAAAAGCAGAAGTGCGGGCCACCTCTGGACTTAAAGTTAGCACTCAGATCATTCGGAATTGCTTACATCAGGCTGGGCTACGAGCACGAAGGTCTTGGCAAGCACCTCAGAATTCACGTCAACGTCAGCGAGGGAGATTGCAGTGGGCTAGGCTTCGGCAAAATGAAGAAAATGAGGAGGAAAATATTTGGCAAAACTTTATCTTCATTGACGAATCGCGAATAAGTACTCATCTATATAACCGATGTGTCCGTGTCTGGAGTAGACCTGGAGACTCTGAAAGGCAAAGAACTGCCACTGGAATCGTTCAGCAGAGCGGAAAATCGGTGGCCCTTTGTGGTGGAATTATGATTGGAGCGAGAATGCCTTTCATCCTGTATAGACTTCATGACAGCCGATAGACACA